GAGCCCCTTAAGCTCAACAAATCTCTTTTGCAATGATCAGAGTTGCAAGCCGGAACATCAAAGGGCTCAACAAGTCCTCTAGACAAGAAGAAATAAGGAAATTTATAAATAGTAACCAGTTGGACCTTATTGGGATTTTTGAAACAAGAGTAAGACAAGTTAATAAGGCCTTCATTATGAGGCAAGTGTTCAGGGATTGGAGTTATGTTGATAACTATAATTGCCATACTTTGGGAAGAATTTGGGTTGCTTGGAATCCAAATAGCCTACAAGTCAACAATATTTTTGAGATAGATCAGATTATTCACTTTCATGTGCAACACCTAGAAAGTAAATCATCTTTTTTCATCTCCGTTGTTTATGCATCTAATGAGGAGCATGGCAGGTGGGACTTATGGAGGAACATCATATATCATGCAGGTGTCTTTGGTTCTGAACCATGGCAAATTCTTGGTGACTTTAACACCATCAGAAGTCTCAATGAAACTAAGGGCTGCTTAGGGAGATGGACCAATTCAATGGAAGATTTTGACACTTGTTTGCAAGATTCGGAACTTGTTGATCTAAGATACTCTGGTTTTCAATTTACTTGGTCAGATATGAGAGTTGAGGGTAACAGTATCTCAAGGAAACTTGATAGAGCTCTTGCCAATGAAGCTTGGAACAAGATGATCCAACAGTCAATTGCTAAATTTTTAGCTCCTTGTGTCTCTGATCACAGCCCAGTTGTGGTCAAAATTGGGGAAGAATTTGGTAAGAGGGGAACTCCTTTCAAATTTTTTAACTACTTGGCAGATAGAGCTGACTTTCTTGAGATGGTCAAACAAGCCTGGGGTGTTTGGGATAATGGATCATCCCAATTCCAAATATGTTGCAAGTTCAAGAGATTGAAGGCTATGTTTAAAGGGAAGAGTAAGGACCTAGGTGAAACAACTGCTAGGGCCAATGAAGCCAAATCTGCCCTCGAAATTTGCCAACCCAAACTGGATGTCAGTCAATTTGATACTAACTTGAGATTAGAGGAGAGACGTCTCCTTTCTAACTAACTGGATGCTGCTAGGAATAATGAGATTGTCATGAAGCAAAGATCTAGGATTCAATGGTTGAAAGATGGAGATCAAAATACCTCCTTTTTTCTTTAAATCTATGATTGGCAGGAGGAACATAAAGAAGATTCTATCCTTGAAAAGAATGGATGGTTCAACTGCTGAAGGGGTTCAAGAGGTCAAAGATGAGGCAGTTGATATTTTCCAAAGGCTCTTGGGTTCAACAGGTTCTACCTTTTCATCCACTAAAAGAAGAGAAATGCTCTCTGAGATTGTACAAAATAGGCTCACTGATGCACAAGCTGCTGAAATGGAACTTGAGGTCATTTGCGAGGAAATCAAGAACACTCTCTTCTCCCTTAAGGATATGAAAGCTCCTAGGCTTGATGGTTACAATGCATACTTTTTTAAAAAGTCTTAGCCTGCTATTGGGGAGCTTGTATATGCTGCAATTCAGGAATTCTTTTCTACTGGTAAGCTCCTCAAAGAGCTTAATGCCACCATTTTGGCCCTTGTTCCTAAAATTCCCAACCCAAGCACCATGAGCGAGTTTAGGCCTATTTCCTGTTGTAACACCATTTACAAGGTTATTTCCAAAAAGGATTTTACTTGAGATTATCAATCCTAACCAAGCTGCATTTATTCAAGGTAGAAGTATTGGGGATAACATACTTTTAGCCTAAGAGCTGCTAAGGAACTACCATAACGAAAAAGGTTCACCAAGATGTGCCATTAAAATTGACCTCATGAAAGCATTTGATACTCTTGACTATAACTTCTTACTTGAGACACTTGAAGCCTTTAATTTTCCTAGCTGGTTGAGGATGTGGATTCTTGCTTGCTTATCATCTCCAAGATTCTCTGTTTGTGTTAATGGTGAGCTGGTTGGTTTCTTTCCTAGCAAAATGGGGGTTAGGCAAGGGGACCCCATGTCTCCTTACTTATTTGTCATTGCAATGGAGGTGTTTACTCTAATTGTGCAAAAGAATATATCTCTCCATCCTTTTAAGTTCCATTGGAGATGCAAGAAATCAAACTTACCCACCTTGCTTTTATTGATGATCTTCTGATGTTCAATCATTGTGACCTTACCTCTGTTAAGTTTCTCCATCTTTCATTACAACAATTTCAAGCCATCTCTGGATTGCAGATTAATCTGGGGAAAAGCTTTATCTATCACTGTGGGACTCTACCTGATGTCAAATCCCAAATCTCTCATCTTCTGGGCCTGTTAGAAGGGGTCCTCCCTGTTACATATCTGGGCATTCCCCTCATCACATCTAGACTCATAAACCAGCACTGTGAAGGTCTTGTGGAGAGAATCAGAAAGAGGATTAGTTCCTGGACTAATAGATTGATGTCTTATGTAGGTAGGCTCCAACTTGTGACCTCTATCATCAGCTCCATTCAAGTTTTCTGGTCCTCCCATCTTGCATTTTCACAGTCTATAATTGATAAAATTGAGCAACTCATGAGGGCTTTTCTATGGAAGGGTGTTGATTTGAAAAACACTGGTGCTAAAGTGGCACGGACTGAGGTTTGCAAACTTAAAGATGAGGGTGGATTGGGCATCAAGAGGCTTAAGGATTGGAATGCTGCCTTGCTTATGAAGCACATTTGAAAGTTATTCACTGACAAGCAGGCCTTATGGTCAAGGTGGATTCACTCTTACCACCTAAGAGGGAGAAGTATTTGGGAAATCAGAGCTACCCCTACGAGCTCTTGGACATGACAGAATATTTTAAAGCTAAGGGAGGTTATCAGACCTCTTTTGACTCATAAAATTGGTAATGGTTATGATAATTTTCTATGGCTTGATAGTTGGCATCCTAGTGGTCCCCTATTCCAAAGATGGGGTCATATTCCCGTGCTTGCCTGTGCACTCAATTTGTGTTCCAAAGTTAGCTGCATCATCTCTGGGTCTCAATGGTGTTGGCCCAACTCCTCTTCTCCTGCTCTGGCCAGGATTGTTGATTCTATGCCTGCTTATTCCCCCAACCATCTTGCTGCTGATAGTGTTCTTTGGTCTTTCGCTGTAAATGGTCGTTTTACTACAACTTCTGCTTGGCACTACATCAGAGTTTCTGGGCAGAAAATTCCTTGGTTGAAGCTTGTTTGGCACACACATCTTNCCTTGCTTTTATTGATGATCTTCTGATGTTCAATCATTGTGACCTTACCTCTGTTAAGTTTCTCCATCTTTCATTACAACAATTTCAAGCCATCTCTGGATTGCAGATTAATCTGGGGAAAAGCTTTATCTATCACTGTGGGACTCTACCTGATGTCAAATCCCAAATCTCTCATCTTCTGGGCCTGTTAGAAGGGGTCCTCCCTGTTACATATCTGGGCATTCCCCTCATCACATCTAGACTCATAAACCAGCACTGTGAAGGTCTTGTGGAGAGAATCAGAAAGAGGATTAGTTCCTGGACTAATAGATTGATGTCTTATGTAGGTAGGCTCCAACTTGTGACCTCTATCATCAGCTCCATTCAAGTTTTCTGGTCCTCCCATCTTGCATTTTCACAGTCTATAATTGATAAAATTGAGCAACTCATGAGGGCTTTTCTATGGAAGGGTGTTGATTTGAAAAACACTGGTGCTAAAGTGGCACGGACTGAGGTTTGCAAACTTAAAGATGAGGGTGGATTGGGCATCAAGAGGCTTAAGGATTGGAATGCTGCCTTGCTTATGAAGCACATTTGAAAGTTATTCACTGACAAGCAGGCCTTATGGTCAAGGTGGATTCACTCTTACCACCTAAGAGGGAGAAGTATTTGGGAAATCAGAGCTACCCCTACGAGCTCTTGGACATGACAGAATATTTTAAAGCTAAGGGAGGTTATCAGACCTCTTTTGACTCATAAAATTGGTAATGGTTATGATAATTTTCTATGGCTTGATAGTTGGCATCCTAGTGGTCCCCTATTCCAAAGATGGGGTCATATTCCCGTGCTTGCCTGTGCACTCAATTTGTGTTCCAAAGTTAGCTGCATCATCTCTGGGTCTCAATGGTGTTGGCCCAACTCCTCTTCTCCTGCTCTGGCCAGGATTGTTGATTCTATGCCTGCTTATTCCCCCAACCATCTTGCTGCTGATAGTGTTCTTTGGTCTTTCGCTGTAAATGGTCGTTTTACTACAACTTCTGCTTGGCACTACATCAGAGTTTCTGGGCAGAAAATTCCTTGGTTGAAGCTTGTTTGGCACACACATCTTATCCCCAGGATGAGCTTTATCTTATGGCTTGCCATTAGGCAAAGATTATATACCAAAGATAGATCTCTCTCTCTTGCCAATCAGGTGGACTTGGGGTGCATCTTTTGCAAGAAACTCCCTGAGACTCATACTCATCTCTTTTTTGAATGCACCTTCTCCCATAGTGTATGGGAATCCATTCTCGCCTACAGCCAAATTCAGTGGTCTCTTTCTCCTTGGCACTCCTACATCAACTAGGCTGCTACCCAGTGGAAGGGGAGATCTATGCTTTTTGTCATACTTAAACTTAGCCTTGCTTCCACAGTTTATCATTTATGGATGGAGAGAAACTCCAAAGTGTTCTCAAACCAATTTAGGGACAACAACTCTCTGATTCGAATCATCAAACAAGCAGTCAAGGACAAGCTCATGTCTACTAAATTCAAATACTCCATCTAGAATCTAAGGATGCTGCATCTATGGGATCTTCCTCTCAATTGCATAGCATGAACACTGGTCTTCCTTTCCTTTGGATGGCCAGCATTTGTTGTTCTTTTTATTGTATGGGTTGTTTTGGTGTAGAACTCCATGCCATGTGCTTGATGTTTGTTGCTTGGCGTTGGGATGTGTTGCTAGTGCTGGTTTTTTTTTGTCTTTTGAATTGGGCTGTGTTGGGGGCTGTCTGCTGGACGTTTTTGCTGTGTTTGGGCTGGTTGCTGGTGCTATTTTTTTTTTTTGTCTTTGTGTTGGCTGCTGATGCTTGATAAGGTAGCATTGTAGTTACTGCTATGTGGAGTTGGACTGTTTTGCTGCTATGTGGAGCTAGACTGTTTTTGCTTTGCTCTAGGATGCGTTTGCTTGTTATGTGGTTGTCCGTTTGATGTTTGCTACTGCCATGTTGAGATGGGTTGCTCTGCTTTATTCTGATTTCTTGCTACTGCATATAGTTTGCTATGGATTCACAAGACCCCTTTCTGTTATTGGTCTGCCTCCTTGCATATCAGTGGTGTTAAGGGGCAGAATTGGTTTCATGCTCTGTCTTCTTTTTGTCTACCAATGTATTATTGTCAACAATTCTGTGGTAGATGCTCTTACTCAGGGTATCTCCTACAGACTTGTGTCTTGAGCTCTGGATTTTTGGGTTTTCTTATTTTGTCTTTGGGGTCCTAAGTGACTTCATTGTACATTTTGCGGGTGATTATCCTTGTATATCCATTTATTTTTATATATTTTATCTTCCGAAAAAAAAAGCTCTATAAAACTTACTACAAACTGTTTGGAAAAAAAAAATTAAAACGAGACAAAAAAAGTGAGCCAAGCAAACAATAAAAGATGTGACAGCCCTAATAATTTGACATGTTTCTTGGTGAGATATTTCTCACTCCCTTCAGCTACTTTGCCCCTGAAAGTGAAAGAATATGAATGTACCAAACTCTCAATACCTGCGACAGATACTATTCGATTGAAAATATAAATTCAATAGTAATTGTTCGTGTTGAAGGTACTGTATAACAAATAAAAAAAATTATAAATAAATGCTCATATTTGAAGGTATTATATAACACGAAAAAAAAGTCAATCAAAAAAATTGAGAAAAGAATCACCAACCAATATGTCTCCAACATAACACAAACTTGTTAATTAAAAGATTGGAAAAAAAATTTCAATTAATATAGTCGACTATTATTTTTAAAAAATCTTGAAAATTTTATCTAAACACATGACCCCTAAACAATTATAATCTTTTGACCAAAATCGACACCGGCCGCAGACCATCACTGATGTAGATAATTGTTAAGATTTTATAAAACCCACTAGAAGATTTTGCAAAAGAAAAACTAAATCCATTGAAGAAATTCATGAAACAAGCATTCATGAATCCATGAATCCAAATCCATTGAAGAAATTCACTCAAAATTATTGAAGGGGGTGGCTTCCTTAGTGACACGTGCAATTACATTAGAAGAACCCATGTGAAGGTGATAGGACCACTCACGTGACAAAAACATCATCATCAAATCAAAGTTGAGCTATTCAAAGAGCTCGGGAATAAAGGGAAGAGGTTGGTCCACATCATAACCGAGCTATTTCAAACAGTAAACAAACAGCTAAAGAGATGCCTATAACTCAAGCATTTTGGTTAAACCAATGGACATAATTGTAGGCTCGGCAGGAGGAATTGCTGGAGAGATTTCAGCAACTTCCTAAACAGAGTCGCCTAAGTGGAGGAAAGCGTGCCACCTTGAATCGAGAATCATGGAAACCCTAACTGAACAGGGATCTATAAAGGGCACAAGGAGCCAAGGTGAAAGATACAGTGAACTCTCCTTGTCTTCTTGCAATTCATTTAGTCTCATTACTGACTTAAGCATCAGAATGCCTTCAATCGAAGCATTTCGATCTTGAGCAGTTTGTTTGTTTTGCAGGAAAAAGAAGACTGGGAGAATAAGTTCAGAAGCACATCCTTACCAGAAGTAATAATCCTTTGTATGTGTAAGAGGTCAATTTTTATCTCTTAATTTTTTTGGCGCCGTCTATGGGAAGATTCTCATCAATCGAAACGAAAAGCCCACGTCAAAATGAAGAAGTGCCATCAGATCACCTATATGCAATTTTGCCTTGGTGAATTTTGATCCAAACTACAGAGTGTCGCTTTTATCTGATAGGGACATCAGGATGCATATGGATAAAAGCCCATCTAAACCCCATGAGGATGATGAGTTATCCTCAGCTTGAATCAGCAAAACGACGACCGTGGTGAATCCCTCCGTGCCGAGAGGGAGAACCACTCTCTGGCAAAGTTGGTTCAATCCCTGCAGGACCGACTTGAGGTGCATGACAAATTGTTTAAAAATTCTTAGCCAGGGAAAAGGATCTGATGAAAGAAAACAAAGAGTTAAAAGCTAGATTGAAGGAAATGACTAAGAGAGAGAAACGTAACAAGGAAAGCCGACGGGAGAGTCCCGAGAAAAAACGAGATAGAAGAGAAAATGCCAAGGAAGATGAGTACAAGCAGAAAAGACCTCGGGGGCAGAAGGAGGTTTCCTGGAAGCAATTCATTACTAAAGAGCTCAACACCCAGCTAAAGAGACCAGAGCAAAACTTGGCTAGTGACCTAGCCAGAAGAGCAATCGGAGAATATGGAGACGGTATGGAGTCCTCACCTTTCACCATGTGAATCAAAAGGAGGCGAATCCCAAGTAAATTCACCATCCCGAACTTCAAGTTATATGATGAAAAGACCAATCCAGCATCCCACATCAAACATTACAGGCAGCTTATGACCATTCATCAGAGAAATGAGCCGTTGGTCTGCGCCATCTTCCCCAATAGCCTAGGGGAGTCAGCCATGAAGTGGTTCGATAGTTTACCTAAGGGCTCTGTAGACGAATAGGCTCAGCCTGCTGAGCAATTCACAACTCTGTTCATCACGAGCAGCAAACAATTCAAAGATGTCGGGGCTCCACTTACACTAAAGAAGTGAAGCCATGAAACTTTGAGAGAATATGCTCATCATTACTGGAAAACGATGAATGAAGTCAAAACTTGTAACCCCGAAATTGCTATGGCGTCCTTCAAAATTGGATTGCCAAAGAAAAATCCTTTATATTAGTCTCTTAACAAAAGGCCTGTCATAGACTTGAAGGAACTAATGATAAGGATCGAGAAGTACGCAAAAGTCGATTATGACTTATCCAAAGACGTGGGGAAAAGAGCATCCCGTCAGAAAGCAGTTTAGCCGTGACAAGCAGACTGAGCCGAATAGAGAAGTAGGAAGGAAAAAAGAAAAGGAAAGGTTTTCCCCAAAATTTCCTTTCATTGGGGTCAATACAATGTTTAAAGAGCCAATATACAAAATATTGGCTTAGATAAAGGGAAAGTCATATTTCAAGTGGCCAAATAAGCTAATAAGGGATCCTTCAAAGAGGAATCCTAATTTTAGGTGTTCCTACCATCGAGATGTAGGTCAAATGACTGAGAATTTCCAATCTTTGAAACAACATTTGGAAAAGCTGGTCCAAGCGGGGCATCTTGCCCAGTTTATTGAGGATGGTGCCACAACCATTGGTGGAAGAATCGAGCTTCAAGTGACCAGACCACAGCAACGGGTGTGATAGATGTAATCCACACTGCAACAAACTCGCAAATAGCCATGAATAATGTTGCAAGAGCATATGCGAATAAATTCATCATCCCGAACTTCAAGTTATATGATGGAAAGATCGATCTAGCCTTCCATATAAGACATTATAGGCAACTTATGACCATTCATCAGAGGAATGAGCCGCTGTTCTACACCATCTTCCCTAGTAGCTTAGGGGATTTGGCCATGAAGTGGTTTGATGGTTTACCAAAGGGCTCGATAGACGGATGGGCTCAACTCGCTGAGCAATTCACAACTCGTTTCATCACGAACAACAAACAACCCAAAGATGTCGGGGCTCTAGTTACACTAAAGAAGCAAAACGATGAAACTTTGAGAGAATATGTTCATCGTTACTGGGAAATGATGAATGAAGTTGAAACTTGTAACTCCGAAATTACTGTGGCATCCTTCAAAATTGGATTGCCAAAGAAAAACCCTTTATATCAATCTCTTACCAGAAGGCCTACCATAGACCTGGAGGAACTAATGATAAAGATCGAGAAGTACGCAAAATTCGATGATGACCTATCCAGAGACGTGGGAAAGGAGCATCCCGGCAGAAAACAGTTTAGCCGTGATAAACAGATTGAGTCGAACAAAGAAGTAGGAAGGAAGAAAGAAAAGGAAGGGTTTCCCCCAAAATCTCCTTTCATTGGGGTTAATATAGTGTTTAAAGAGCCAATATACAAAATATTGGCTCAGATCAAGGGGAACCCATATTTCAAATGGCCCAATAAGCTAATAGGGGATCCTTCAAAGAGGAATCCTAATTTTAGGTGTTCTTACCATCGGGATGTAGGTCACATGACCGAGAATTGTTGATCTTTAAAACAACATTTGGAAGAGCTGGTCCAAGTGGGGCATCTTGCCTAGTTCATTGAGGATGGTGCCACAACCACTGGTGGAAGAACCGAGGCTCAAAGGGACCAGAGCATGACAACAGGTGTGATAGATGTAATCCACGCTGCAATGAACCCGCAAATGGCCACAAATAATGCTGCAAGAGCATATATCCAAAGAGCCACGAAGTCAAGAACAAGAGAATGAAGATTGTGGTCGCAGTCGAGACGATCTGATTCCCCGAGTAGGATCTGATTGAGATACACCAGCCACATAATGACGCATTGGCGACAACACTTAGAATCGCCAATTATGATGTGAAGAGAATATTGATCAATCTAGAAAGCTCCTCTGAGATCATGTATATATATGGACTACTTCCTGAAGCTCGGGTTGAAACAAGAAAATCTCAAGTTAGCCAATACCCCACTGGTCAACTTTAGTGGGAAAATGATTCTCCCAAGAGGAAGGATCACTCTTTCGGTGAAGATTGGCCTCGTTGGAGTCATTAATGACTTTTTGGTGGTAGACATGACCTCGGCATATAATGCCATTATGGGTCAGACCTGATTGCACGAAATGAAGGCAGTACATCAACATACCACCAGGTGCTCAAGTTTCCCTCAGCAGAAGGAATAGTGAACATTCGAGGAGACCAAATAAGTTCCAGAACTTATCTATTGGCATCGGTCAAAGGAAGGGACAGTGGGAAAAGCAGAGAGAAAAGTTCGACGGTCAAAACTGCAAAATAACAGCCAATCCTCGATAGGTCGATTGAAACTATCGAGGAAGGACATAAAGTACCTTTAGGCACCGAGCTGGAACTAACCAACTAAATAGTAGAAGACTTGTCTAAAGTACCTTTTGATAAGCATGATGACAAGTACTTTCTTTTGGGTGCCTCATTGAGCCCTAAGGAGCAATATGGACTTATTGCACTACTAAGAGAATATGCCGACATCTTCGCATGGTCAACATATGAAATGCCTGGCGTACCGCCTAAAGTGGCATGTCATCAATTAAACGTAGATCCTAACTTTAAGTAGATCAAACAAAAACTTAGGAGGTCAGCACCAAAGCATCAAGAAATCGTAAAAGAGGAGGTGACTCGGTTGTTGGAATCCTAGACCATTAGGGAG